GGCTGACTAAATACTTTTTTGCCCCACTGTACCTGTATCTTTCTCTAAATGTTGTTAATAATAAACAATGGCAGCAAGACACATAGAATTAACAGCTCTACATGCTGTTTTTATCACTCTGACCTTCAAATTGGTCTTGAAGGAGAGGTCAAAGTCTGCTAAGTGTTGAGTGTAATACTACAAGATACACAAGCCACCCATGGGAAAAGGATAATCATTGGATCCAGTGTTTTATTAGTAATGTGTGTTTTAATTCAGCATTATCTTCAAACAAATTCCAGTTAGGTTAGGCGACTGGATATTGGCTGCAGCCGAGTCAACTGACAGTCGCTTTTTTCTTTCCTTTTCGTCCTCTTTATTTTGGTATTGCATTGGTCTGCCTTCTGGACAATTCAACACTGCAAAAAATGTAATCTGTCACAATACAGTCTGTGATCATATTTGGAGTATTCGTTCACTGACGAGCTCATCCTTCAGCTTTAAAACCAAATTAATCCCAATTAAGGGAGTTTTCTCTGAAAATGTCATTCGCGTGCCGCATACACACATCTGCTAAAAGACAGCCAGTCTCTGTTTGTTGGACCGATGATGGCCAGCTGGGATATTTTACCGTATCATTTCCATATGACAGCATTTTCAGCATTGCCGTAATTCGGTATTGGCGTCACGTCTCTGCTCTTTCAGATACAACAAACTGTATCTGCCTGTCAATCATCAGCATAGCTTTTCTTGCAAAATAGCTTTGCACCTGTTCCTTTGACCGGGGTTATCTCGCAAAGATGAATGTACTCAAGCCAACCTTGTCTGCTGTGAGCTCTCGGATCTTGATGATCTGCACTCTGAACTTCATGAGCAGTGCTTCCAGGACCACACACTTCTCCTTCCAGTCCTCTTGGCTCATCGCCTCCTCCCCCTCCGCCATATCCCTCTGAAAAATACCCTAAGCAGCGAGACACAGAGTGTATATACAGCACAGTATGTGTAGCAAAACATTTTTGTGCAGACATTTAACATTTTTACATTATCTCCATAATAGCAGATGAAGAAACACAGACATGAAAGCAAATGGTCAGGAGGCTTGTTGTTGACCAGATGTGTTGGCACCAGCCAGGCAGCACCTGAAATATTCCAGGGTGTAGCCCAGCTGGACCAGTGTGGGCAGTGGGCGTATCACTCACAAACAGGAAAACAGCTCTATTAGTCCAAAACACCTCGACACCCTCCCCAAAAGACACTTGTATCACATTTTCCACGACTAATGTAGGAAAACAGGCAGCAGAGAGAGAGCGTCTGTGATGTTGGATAGAAAGCCTGGGTTTCTCTCTTCCTAGTAATAACCTCTCATTACCAGCCTGGCCTCCTCGCAAAGAGACTACAAGCATGTGTGGAGGAAGGCCATAAAGTAGTTTCCACAGGCTTATTTCTGCTGCCTGTTTGCTGTGGTAAACACTGACGAGGGGAAAGGAATAAAACGAGTCTCACTCCACAAAACAAAACAGCACGAGGGACTGAGGGGATGGAGTTTAATATGACAAAGTTATAAACGTTAAGAAATGCTTTGTATTCTAAATTTACATTTCACGTATCACACATTTATCCGCTGCTGTCTCATTAAATATGCTGGAATTTGACACTTGGTGTTTTTATAGCAGTTGTAATATTCAAAATGTTTCTGTTTAGCTACAACACCACCCTTCAGCTGGTTACATATTGAAGGTAAATAAACAACATCCTATTAGAATATTAGTCATTATTTGCGATATTGGAGCACACATGATCCTAAAGCAAAAATGACCCCTAAAGCCCGGCTCCCAGTGTTTTCTTTTGCAATCTTTCTCTCAGACTTCCTGTTGGTCAAAGTCAGAATCAGCACACACAGACACAATCGGGACTCATTTGGATGTGGTGTGCTGATGAAGTTATTCTGTGTTTATAAATAAAGGTTTACAGGACATCAAATTGACTCTGATGGAATAAAATCTTTTGACTGTTTAAAAAACTTATCAGCTGAGCGTAACACGTTTCAGAGGTATATACACTGATACGTCACTTACATCTACATCTTGCTTGTTGGCTTGGACCACCTGTTCCCATCACAACCGCCTTATTGCATAGATTCTACAAAGTGTTTGAATCAAGCCCCAGCATTACACAGCTGCTGCAGATTTGTTGGTTGCACATCTATGATGTCAACCTCCTGTTCTTTCCACCTCTTCCTAAAGGAGCTCTCTTGACTGTGGACACTATTTCAGTGCAGTGAGCTACCTCACTTCTCAGTTAGAGATGATTTGAGATTCATGACATTGGTGCGTTATCCTGCTGGAAGTAGCCATCAGGAGATATGCACACTGTGGTCAAAATGTCCTCCACACCAATACACCACCAGCACCAGCCTGAACAGTTGCTACAAGGCAGGGTGGATCCAAGTTTTCATGCTTGTTATAACAAATTCTAACCCTGCTGCAGTGGAAATTGAAACAAATCAGACCAGACAATGTGTTGATGCATGCTCAATAATCGGTAAGAAAATCCCCAAACGTATTCAGACCAGACAGTGTTTTTTTTTCTTTCTATTTTCCAGTTCTGGTGATCCAGTTTCATTACAGCCTTTGTTTCCTGTCTGATAATCTGATACAAGTGGCACCCTTAGTAGTCTTCCACTGCTGTAACATTCAAGGCTGGATGTGTTGTGGATTCGAAGATGCTCTTCTGCACACCCTGGTTGTAACGAGCGGTTATTAGAGTTACTGTTGCCCTAATATCAGCTCAGAGCAGTCTGGTCTTTTCCTCTGACCTTTGACATGAGCTCATGCCTCATTTGAATCACCATTGAACTTCAGCAGGCTATCTTGACCATGTCTACATGCCTAAATATACCGATATACTGCCATTTGATCAGCTGATTAGATATCAAACAGGTGTACCTAACAAAGTCACCAGGGAATATATGTCATGCTAATTTAAAGCAGAGCTGCAGACAGTTACATTATTCAAATAGAGTTCAAATACGTCCAATATTATCACGAACACTAACCTATTTTAATATTGAGGTATTTTTCCTCTTATTAAAAACCAAAGTCAAATAAATGACCATGTTTACTCATTAACACCACCCGTATCTGACTAACCAAACTGATCCCCTTATGCCATCCCTTAGACGTCAGCATCATGTGCTAGTTTGTTGCACCTCACACATTGCACTACAGCTGTCTGAGCTCTAACCTTCTTCTTTCAAACATTCCTAATTTCTGTCTTGGACTAGGAATTTCTTTCTTATTTTCTTCCTTCGTTTGAAAATATTATAAAAAAAAAAGATTTTGTAAATTATTAAAAAAGGGGTTCATCCTGTATACTCTCATCAAAACAACTTGAGCCCCAAATTGAGCCTCAACAGTTCTGAGTTTAGTTTCAGGTTTGTGTTATTTTACCAAACAATTATTACTATTATTAAACAATCAACAATTATTACATATGGTAGTTGTTGCACAAGGTTTTTAAAAAACTTTTCAAGATGAGAAATAAAAACATACTGTTACTTTGAGCACATGAACCCCAAAACCTAAAGCCAAACAGCATGTTTTCTCACAGAGTAGCTGTTTGATTTGTCAGAAAGCTCATCCTGTGACTGAGTAAAGACGGCTGTGACTTGCCCAGTTTCCCCGACTAACAGTCCATCTACTTTCCCAAGTATTTCTGAAGAGACTCAAAACAGTTTGTAGCAGTCAAGAAAACCGAGGTGATGAGGTACAACAATGTCTGTGGTAGAACACTTTCTAAGGGATATTTTAAACATTTGGTTTGTGAGTACGTTAATGCGGGGTGACTTTCAAATATTAAAAGTTAAACTTATAATCTTTTTTTAAACAGCTATTAATTAAATACATAAATAGCATTTCTTCATTTCCCTACAAAAAATGGTTTTATTAGTGCTGATAAACAAAATTCATTAGTCTATTTAAGTTATTATCAATTTGACATGACTGTTAATGCACATTGCTGCTAAACCGTTATTAAAATAGATAATTCATTTCCTAATAATTAAAACCATCCATTTTCATCGACTTACCCTTAATAATATTAATGTAAAGACACTTTACGAGGAGCTTCACGTCATGTCGAGTCCAGCGCTTCTTTATCTGCTGTTATTCCTCTGAAGAAAATGCTAATTCATGGCTTAAAACGATGAATTTCTGTCTTTCCCAGAGGTTTTCATTGCGCTTCTCGGGCAAAGTTGGCGAAGGGCTGGCGTTTTTTTAAAGGCGTGGCTTCATCAAAAACGTCCAATCAAAAACTAGGTAGGAGTTGCTCAGCCGCGCCGGAAAGGCACGTCTGCCTTTGATTGACGTGTGTCATCCACCAATAAAAATCCCGAGCGCCACTTCTCGGGTAGCTCAGTTTCTGAGGGCGGGCTCAGACATTTTGTCGGAAGTGACGTCTACTATGTGCGGCATGGCCCCATGAGAGTCAGGCATGCGACAACACCATAGAAAGCTCAAAAGGTTTGGTGTCAAAGTAAAAGTTTGCTGACATAAAAGTACACATTCAGAGTCTGAAAGTCAAAATTTTGATTTTTACATTTAAATAAAAACAAAAATATTGCTAAAGGTCACATATAAGCTTTATTTTGTTTGTTTTATTGGGCACGATATTTAATGAGTGTTTTATTCTGAAAAAACGTTTCGGAAGTAAGAGGTTTTAGTGCTGCTTGACACTATTCACAGCTACCAGCTAAAGCTGAAGGGCTCAAGTGAGTAAAGCACATGCTGAACAGAGTTAAATGCTTTTTACATTTAATTTTGCGGGTGTGTAGAGCTGCTCTAGTAAAGCCGCGGTTTGTTGTTTTGTTGTTTGAGGGTTTGTTGTATCGGTCTTGCCTTTCATTTTGCACGTGTAGTCAGTCTCGAGCAGCTAGCAGTAGTTGGCTAACATCTAGCAGCAAGAATTTCAAGCAGTAAATAAGCTCCTATTTTGTTTGGTTGTTTCTAAATTATGTTTGTATGTTTGCTCCTCACACAGAGGCAGAGCCATGGTAGTGAAAAAGAAGACTTCCAAAGTGGAGGCTGTGGCGCTGGATGAGGAGAAACTGCACAAGCTGTTAGGTAAGGGAGTAAAAGTACAAATAACTGTGCCTAAAAAGTTATTATAACAGTAAATAAGTCTCATCATACATTGCAGGTAGAGCAGTCACTGTGTGTACCCTTCATTGGATGTTACGCATGTCTTATAATATTTATTTTGACCTTTTCCCAGCATCCCTCTCGGTTGATGGAGGAGAAGATGGAGTCAGGCAGGTTGCCCAAACCCTGCAGTCCTGTTTGGAGCTGACAGAGCCGGTGCAGCAGATCCAGCTGGTTAAAAAGGTCTGTCTGGTATAGAACGGTATGAATAGTGTGATAAATGGTCTGGTTCTTATATAGCGCTTTTCTACTCTGCTTGAGCATTCAATGCAACTAAGACTAAGATATCCAAGCAAGATGTTAGCTGCAGATCGTTTAGGTCTAGTAAGTGGTAAAGTGGAACAGACGTGTGAGATCAGCGTATGTCGGTCTCTCCGATACTTACACGTCCCATGTTTCCTCAGCTCAAACAACACTGTGTTCATTTGCTGCCCGATTCATCCCACCCTTTGATAGGTACCACTGTAAATGAGATCATAAATGTTTTCACTTCTCCAGGTTTTAATGTTTGTTTGTTTTCCATACTTCATCAGGCAGGGTCCCAGCTGGAGGCACTGAGTGATGAGCAAATGGGCGGAGTTCTTTTAGATGCTTGTCTACACACGCTAGCTGTGGTCTACACCTCCCTGCAGTCCAAGAACCCCCTCCGAAGAGCCATTGCAAGGTAGACATATGCTTCATTTTCTTCTATATTCATTTGTGGACAAGCTGAGCCTGAGCAGCTGTTTATTTGTGGTTTTAAGGGAGAAGATGTAAAGAGGCCATAGTAGCTGATTTATCTTTTCTCTTATGTGTCTGTTTGTTCTTCGTCAATTCTGAGGCCCTCAGATAAATAACTTGTCTGTGTTGCACTTCTCAGTGCCTTGGGTTCAGTACCAGCTTGGCTTCAGGAGCAGACTGTGAGCTGCTTGGCTGGTTGCTTGTCTGATTGTCTTTCCAGCACGTATTCAGACCGGTATCCCCACATCGTCGACTCCATCACTGCCTGTCTGGATGGCTTCCCTCTCGGTTAGTGGTTACTTTTGCTCTTTGTGTGATCACTGCTAATATCAAACAACAGTTCATGTGCTATAAATAAGTACCAATCACGGCAAAATTGTACATCTACAGGTGAGAGCTGCATTAACAAACTATTACCGGAAGGTTAGTATCCACCTTATTTTAACCCGCTTTAACTTCATGTATTTTTGAGGAAAGCTAATGTCTCGATCTCATCCCATTGAGTCCTCTTCTCTTGTGTAGTTTTGCAGTTCCTTCACAAGGCGCTGAGTGAATACCTTCATCAAAACAGGTATGGAGGCATGCTCTTATCCCTCAAATAACACTTCCAGTCTCTTTCATTGATTGGACTCTAGCTGGTGCTCATTGATTTCAATATTTTGTAGGTTTATATCCTCTGTGTAAACATTGATACATGAGGAAAGCTTACCAGCCTTGTATTTGTATCAAATTGTGTGCCTCTGTCGCCCTCTGCTGTTTTCCCAGTGGTCTTGTAGGACGCCACATTGCCCAGGCTCAGCTGATGCAGTCCTGTCTAGCTGCAGTGAAGACCTCCATGCTGGTCGTCCAGAGGTCTCAGGACACGATCAGCGTGGTTTTACAGGCCCAACAGGACTGCTGCAGGCTGCAGGACACACTGGGTGACCTCTTGGGCTGCTACATACACATCCTCACTGATGGTAAGAAAGTTAGGAATTAACAAGACGAGCAGAGAACAAACAGCTGGAAGCAAACATGCAGATCCACCGTCATCTCACTTGAAAACAGGCAGCTGTCCTCATCAGTCACTGAATCCAAGACCTTTTCACTTAGATTTTAGGTATTCATTTTGTGTCACAGGTGTAGATTTCAGTGGGAGGGAGGATACAGATCCCAGTTCTACCTTCTAGCTTTGACCACACACGCTATGGTGTCCATGTGACCCTGTCCCCTCTCCCACCCTGAATGTGGCAACTGTTCCCTGTGATATTATCAGGATTTGGTATAACTCAGGATCCAGGCTCAGAAAAGTACTT